AAAAAGCTAAAGTGGATAGAGAGAAATACTGTTAACTGATGGTATATGGAGGGGATTATAATCAATGTAATGAAACAAGGTATATGAACTGTTGAATGTGAAACTGATGATGTGCTCTGTACACTTTTACTCAATCCACAATAAAAACCTTAAATTAAAAAGAAAAGAAAAGAAAAAGTGAATCCTTAAAGTGTAATGTAACATGCATGGATATTTTCTAAGTTTCTAAACATACACGATATTGCATGTACCAAATAACTATATTGAACTTTCTTAAGCACCATTAAGAAGAATGGTTTTCAATTATCTGTGTGTCTACTTCCTATAATATACTGAACAATATCATCTATACCATATGATGAGGATCTGTTGCTGGTTGTCTTCACGTTGGTACCAACTTACAGTAACCTTATGCACAACAGAAAGAAATACTGTCAAGTCTGCATCATCCTTACAATTGTTGCTATGCTTAAGCCCACTGCTGCTTCCACCGGGCCAATCCATCTTGTTGGAGGTCTTCCTCTTTTTCACTTACCTCCCACTTTACCAAGCATGATGTCCTTCTCCAGGGACTGGTCCGTTATGTCCAAAGTATGATAGCCAATGTCTGGTCATTTGGTTTCTAAGGAGCATTCTTTCTGTAATTCTTCCAACACAGATGTGCTTCTTCTTCTGGTAGTCCATGGTACTTTTGATATTCTCCTCCAACTCCATAACTCAAGTGCATCAATTTTTCTACAGTCTTCCTTGTTCATTATCCCAACTTTTACATGCATATGAGGCTATTAAAAACACATGGTTTGAGTTAGGTGCACCTTAGTCCTCAAACTGACATCTTTGCTCTTCAACACTTACAGAGGTTTTGCACAGCAGATCCGCCTAACGCAACATGTCATGTGATTTCTTGACTGCTGCTTCCATGAGTGGAAGCAAAATTCCAAACAAAATTAAGTCTTTGAGAACTTGGATAGTTTTTCCATTTATCTTGATGTTATTTATTGATGTAGTTGTAAAGAATTTTGTTTTCTTCACATTGAGGTGCAACCCATACTGAATGGGCTATGGTCTTTATCTTTATCAGGAGTTTAAGTCCTCTTAGCTTTCTGCATATTGCAGGCTGTTAATGAGTCATCTCCCAATCCTGATGACACATTCTCCTTCACATATCCAGCTTCCTGGATTATTTGTTCAACATACAAACTGAGTAAGTATAGTAAAAAAATACAACCCTGGCACACACCTTTCCTGGTTTTAAACCATTCAGTGTTCCCTTGTACTGTTTGAATGACTGTCTCTTGGTGTTATGTACAGGTTCCATAGGAGCGTAATCAAGTGTACCAAAATACTCAATCTCCACAATGTTGTCCATAGTGTTATGATCCACACACTCGAAAGCCAATGCGTAGTCAGTAAAGCACAGGTAAACATCTTTCTGGTATACTCTGCTTTCAGCCAAGATCCATCTCATGTCAGCAATGACATCCCTCATTCCATGTCCCAGTCTGAATCCAGCCAGAGCCTCTGGTAGCTCCCTGTCAATGTAGTGCTATAGCCGTTTTTGAATTATCTTTATCAAAATTTTACTTTCATGAGATATTAATGATATTGTCCAATGATTTCTGCATTCTACTGGGTCATCTCTGTTTGAAATGGGCACAAATATGGACCTCTCCCAATCAGTTGGCTACACAGCTGTCTTCCAAATTTTTTGGCATAGAAGAGTCAGTGAGGTTCTTTTTGATGATGAATGTGACGCTATTCCTCTTCAAACTATCATTACTGGCATAGTAAACCATGTGATTATCAGTTTCAAAACGGCCAGTACAGCTCCTAAAGTTTAAGGTATCAAGCTCTATGCATTCCATTTCTTTTCTGACAACTTCCAATTTTCCTAGATTCATACTTCATAATTCCATGTTCTGATTATTAATGGATGTTTGCAGCAGTTTCTCATCATCTTGAGTTGATGATGATGCCAAAAACTTTACTTCATTTGCATCATTATGGTCAGATCTACTTTGAGGCAGCTCTTCTCCAGTTGTATTTTGAGTGCCTTCTAACCTGAGAGGCTCATTTTCTCATTTTCAATATTCAGGTGCTCTTCAATCATGTTTTAATACTCAATATTCTGGTGCCGATGGTGTTCCAGTGCTATTCATAAGGTTGTCAGTGACTAAATATTCGTAAGTGGTCCATTTCTCCTCCTTCCTAGTCCGTCTTCATCTGGAAGCTCAGCTGAAACCTGTCCACCGTGGGTGATTTTGCTGGTATTTAAAACATCAATGGCATAGCTTCCAGAATCACATCAACATGCAAGGCACCAAAGTACGACAAACTGACAGACGAGTGGTGGACTAGGTTCTAAGACAGGTAGAAATTAACTTATTTTTTTAATTAGTTCCTTTTTTTTTTCCTGTAAAATTATTCAGAAGCTGTGAAGTTACTCCTACTAGTCAGAGGTACAATTTAAAAAAAACCACTGCTGTCGAGAGGATGCCCTACTACTCATAGTGATCCTATAGGACCTAGACAACTGCCCGACAGGGTTTCCAAGGTGAGATCTTTATGGGAACAGACTGAGTTCAAACTACCAGTTTATCCATTAGCACTTGAGCATAGCCTGGTATTGCAGTGGGGACCCATAGGGCTGCTAACCACAGGTCAGCAGTTTGAATCCAGCAGCCACTCTATGGGAGTAAGAGGAGACTTTCTGCTCCTGTAAAGATTTATAGCCTCAGAAATCCTATATAAGGTCACTATGAGTCACAACAATGGGACTGCATACTATAACCACTACCACATCAGGTATGTGTGTATATGTAAAGAGTTTACAGTCCTTGTGTGGTGCTGTAGAATCAGCAGTGAGCTGGTAACCACAAGGCTTGCAATTCAAAACCACCAGCTGCTCTTGGAAACCCTATACATGGTTGCTGACTTGGAACCAACTGGATGGCACAAAACAACACATATAGTTTAAACATTTATTCTAAAGTGATGATACATTTACCATCAGGCTACGTGATATGGCAACTGCTACCCAGATTCCAGACGAAAAAACAAAGGCTAAGCAAATATAAAGCATTTATATTATATATATAAAGCATTTATATTTAATGCTGACTAGACAAGGTCTAGTCAGCATTAAAATAAACATGAAAACAGATCTTCTGGATACAGGCTAACCACATCACACCGAAACAATGGCATTCGTGGAGTAACGGCGCTTACCTGAGATTCATATGCAATGCTAGGTCCTGGACAACACGATCATATCTGCCCATGGACGAGTGCTTTCCCAGCCAGCTTGGAAAGGTGGGAAACTGAGTCATGTATCCCCTCATTAACTCTCCAGGAAGAACACTGGCATAAATGGCCTGAAAGAAAGCAAGCATGGCCCAGAATTTAACCTTCAGCATGAAGTTACTTCCATAGCAGCTGCTGGCTTCCAAGCAGTCTAAGGGGGGAACACCATTTTCTCAGGTGCCTGATGACAGAGCAGCAGCCCTTTGGCTCAGTTCCCGATGGGCTGGTGTGGGAAACATCTCCCAGGAGGCTGCAGCAAATGCCTCCAGTATCTTCCGGCCACTCAGGCTCCTCAACAAATTGGCTTCAACCACAGTTACCTCCGGGACGCCAAGCCACAGGATCTTTAAAGAGGAACTGTCTTTAAGCACAGGTACTCAGACCACAGGTAGATGAAAGCATGAAAAGTCCAATAATGAAAAGTTCTTTAAACTGGAAGTTGAGAACAACTAAAAGAAGACCTCGTTAGATACCTTCTGTGTTCAGAGTTTCATGGTTTAAAGGTCAGAAATAGACAGTGATATCTTTAGTATTTATGTCAACAAGCCTGCATACAAATTCAAAACTCCAATAAATACATTCTAAATTATAAATGCTTCCCAGACTCAGTATTGAGTCAAAGATTCTTATCAATGTAAACACAGAACTTCATCTACAGCGCCTCTTCAGCAAGATGGAAGCAATGCCGAGACCGTGCTGCACAGGGACAGTGACTGCCTTCTCTGGTAGCATTGCTTCAAGGGATAGTTAGCCATTTGAGAGAGCCACACGTGTTCAGCAGTCTTCAGGCAAAATAGACTTTTCTTTTTTTAAATGCTTTCCTTTTTTTGTTTTTTTTTAACTGTTTTATTATGAATTATGTGATAGTTTACATGGGAGAACATGATTTTTACATTCATCCTATTGTGTATCGCCTCATCGCCATGGTTACAATCCCTTCCATGCATCATTAACCAGCCAAAGGGTACACCCCGCAAGCCTGCCCCAGGTCATCAGCACACACACAGCCCCTCTCCCTCTCTGTATCTGGAGTTCCTAGCCACTCCATCTCTCCACATCATCGTCTCTGCCTCCATCTCTGGCATCACTGTTTCACTGGGTAGGGTCCTGCACTCCGTTCTTCTCCCTTCATGGTCCCAGGGGCCTCCGCTCCTGGCCTGCAAAGTCAACCACTTCCTTCCTTGCAAAACAAACTTTTGATTGACATCTTAGTTATGACCCAAATCTCACCTTCCTATTTCCATGTGCTCATTCGCATGAAAAGAGCTTGGAAGCTACTAGAAAATAAATGAGTCAACTAGGAAAAACATAATAGTTACCACACTGTTTGAGTCTGTAACAAATTGTGTTTTTGCCAAAGAGCCATCCATTTATCTGTGGTTTCACGTATCTCCAAGCTATTTCTGTGTAACTTTCAGTATCTACAAGCTCTCTGCTCCTGTCACTAAAGCAGTCTACACTTCAAGGGGAGCACTGGGCTAACCTGTGTGGGCAGAAGGCTCCAGTTTTGTTTACTCCGGATCTGACTGTCCACGAGGTCACCATCACATATGCTGTCCGCTGCTCTGCTCAACAGCATCAAGTGCTTCTTCATGTCGCCCCTGCAGGAAAGGACCAGTGTGAATTACAGCACTCTCCACCTCCCTGCCCACTCTCCCTCTGAGGGCCAGGCCTGCGCAGTGCTGGGTGGCTCTTGTTCTGCCCCCCACCCCTCTCAACACTCACCCTGCAGCTAAAGGCTTCACGTGTACATAGTTCTCCTGGACGAAAAGCGGTGCGATTGAATAATCATGAAAAAAGAGATCCGACTTGTCCATGAGTGACATATGAGCAGTCTCCTCTCCAGCTGCAAAGACTTTCCGGGCAACCTCAAATGGGCCCTAAAACAGGTAATGGGAAAAACAAAGACAAAAAACTTTTCTTAATCACTGCTGGAGCTAGAATCTATTCTCACTAATAACTGGGTGAAATGGAACAAAGAGGTAAGGAACACATTTCAAAGAGGTTATTAAATGAAACCATTTGAAACAACAGTCTGAATAGTTCCAGAACATTCCCAAGATGAAATCTACACACAAGTAGCTGGAAGAGAGTCCATTTATAACAACTTAAGCATGACTGCCATTACAACTGAAGTCTTTCTCATAATTTATAATATGCACTGACAGTGTTTGAAGAAAAATTCATTTGAATTGGAAACACCTTTAGCAGCTATTACAGCTCTTGTTTTATGTCCCCATGGGGTTCTTTAAGAGTGGTGAGCAAAGAACTACAAAGACTATTTCTATTAAGCTAATACCTATAAAAAACAAGAAGTGCTTGGAAAACTAAGAAACAGAAATTTATTTTACCAGTTTGATATCCTTTTTGGCTCTTCTAGAATCGGCCTTGGCCTGGTCATAGGTTAGGGCCTTATTTTGTGCACTCCACATACTCAGATTATGTAAAACCTAAAAGAAGCAAAAAGAAGGCAGCGTCAACATAGAAAACCACTGCCCGCACTGTGGTACCTTTAATTTAATTCATACGGCTTTTCTATCGAACGTCTTCTTAATTCCCGCCAAGTGACTGGGTTGCTGTTATTGTTGCTGAGTGCTGCCAAATTGGTTCCGACTCATTAGAGATCCTGCACGGGGTTTCCAAGGAGCAGCTGGTGAGCCTGAACCACAGACCTTGCGGTTCAAATCAACCCTGCAGTCCAGCACATTAACCCACAGGACTCCAAGTGATTGGGTTTGTTCTTCTTGTTGTTGTTATGTGCCGTCGACTCGGTTCCGACCCATAGCGACCCTGAACATGGTTTCCGAGGCTGTAAATCTTTATGGGAGCAGAAAGCCTCATCTTTCTCCCGCAGAGCAGCTGGCAGTTTCGAACTGCTGACCTTGCAGTTTGCAGCCCAATTTGTAACCATTATTCTACCAGAGCATCTTAAGTGTTTGGGTGGGACCATGCAAATAAGATGTGCAGGACTCTAAAGCTGGGATTGGTTAAAAAGAGCCATCTCAGAAGCATGAACAGACAATCCTAGGACTATCAAGAGGGAAGCATGAGTGGAGCATGAGATCCCTACTTAGAAAAGAGGCGGTGGCATGAAGAGACAGAGCAGCTGTGAGATCTAGGCCCGTAGACTGAGTAGCGCTGAGTGCCTACAGGTAGGAGGCTGGCTTGTAGAATGTGCCTTTTGGGCATTCACAGACTGACTAAAGGAGCTTCGTATCACTTGCCTGAGCAGGCCAGAGGTTTGGGGCCACATGGCTGAAAGGTCAAAGACAAGAGTGAGGCATGCCTGTAGTATGGCAGACAAGAGGTATTCCTGACTGGTGCACTGCTGCATCCTGAATTGTAGGTACCTGTTCACTTTCCTAATAAACCATGTAATCATGAGTATTGTTATGAGTTCTGTGTGGTCACTGCATTGGATTAACAAACCCTGATGTGAAACAGGGAGTGCTGTGGAAGGGATGGTTGGTATCAGAATAGGAGAAAGAAGGCTGTAGGGTGGAGGCATCAATCTTGGATTAATTTTGAGTTTGATTCTCTTTTCCCTCATGAAGCCAGGGAGAGTCTGACATGCCCTTCCCCACCCCCATGCTTTTTGCACCCTGAAAGGCATCAATTAAAAAGAATCATCAATCAAAGTCACATATGTTTAATTTACCTGTCTGATATCTTGATTAGCTCCCAAGATGATTTCATTCATAGCTGGAGGAGGAATCTTTAAACCCTCTTTAAATGCAATAGACATCATAGCACCCTGAAAATGACAAGGGGGAGGATCTTCAGTAATTTTTTTTAATTCCTGTAACCAGAAACTTAAAAAAACAACATTTATCAGAATCTTTTAAAATCAGATCCTTTTAGAATAAGACAGTTTTATGAAAAGGGGAAAAAAAGAAAAGTCATATCATCATACCTTAATCTGTTCAACCCGAGGTCTTTGAAAACGAAGATCAAAACAATAATGAACCAACGAACGAATCTTAGGATGATTTCTATCATTGCACATACAAATAATGGGGATTTTTGTGTGTTTTATCAGGCCAATTAACTCCTGAAAAGCAAATTTGCAACACAAAAATAGTTATTTACAAAGCCACAATATGCCACATGACACATTTAATAAAAACTCCTCAGCAACACGCCTGAATTGTTGGGCTAGTGCTAACTGGCTCCTAGATGGCTCAGTGTATAAAATCACAATTAAGATCACAGCCACAGGCCCGCATCCTGAGAATGCTAGGCTCAACTGTAGCAGTCCAAAAGAGGGCAGCCTTGAGGAAGAATTGGATGTGCCAGGAGCTGACATCTCTCCCACTAAGCCACAGATAAGCTTACAGCTAGCTGCAGTAGGAAGTTGTGTTAGATAAAACTTTAGTTAAGTGCCATCAAGTCAGTTCTGACTCACAGCGACCCTGTCTGTATAGGGTTTCCAGGAGTGGCAAGTGAGGCTAAACTGCCAACCTTGTATTTCAAACTAACTCTGCGGTCCAGTGCTTACCCTACAGCACCACACCAGGACTCCATGACAAAACTTAGATCTAATTAAACAATCTTTCTGTTTCTCTCATAACTCAAAAAACTTACCCTTGGAAATGTAATGTGTAGGTGGCTATACGCTAAAATCTGCGGGAATCTGCAGTTAGCAGACAGGCACACTACCTGATTTTCCAAGACACAAACGTGGTTTTTGGGTAACAAGAGCATGTTTATTCCTTCACCTAATAAAATCATCTAAAAATCAGCAGATCTGCAAGCATCTGGTCTCCCTTACCTGAATTCCTCCCCTGTCCTCATTGCCGGCCATGCCATCTACTTCATCCATGATGAGAGCGTGTTTGGTGCTTATGGAATGGGAGGCCACACCTGACCCATGTTCAGAAGCAATGGAATGGGAAAAAAAACAAAACTATTAATTGTTTGAAAACTACTTCTTTAACCAGAAACATATATGTGACATTTTAAACTGGAATTCGGGTTTCTCCTACAAAAGAAGTCCACTGCTCATACTCCTGACCTTTTTCCTTACCCAGAAGCTAACAGGGCTAAGAGTTTTGGGTTGTTTTTGGTTTTTGTTTTTTTTTTTACTTTTTATTGTGAATTAAGTGAAGGTTTACAGAGAGCAGATCATAAGTTTTCTATTCAACCCATCATACGTTTTGTTTCAATGATTGCAATCCCCTAAGCGTAATGTCTCTTATCCCACTTCCTCCCTGTGATTCTGGTTTCCACGCCACCTTCTTTCCCAACTCTTCTGATTGTTACCCTTGGATAAACGCTGCCCTTTCGATCTGAATGGTTGACCATGTCATAGGGTGCATACCTCACTGCTATTATTCTACACCCATCAAAAACGAGTGTGCAAATTACACACCTTAGTTTTTGCCTTTTAACATATTTTGGCAATTTGTTCTTATCAGTGGATAGAGAATATCTCACTTTTTAAAAGAATGGTCCAGTATTCTATTTTACACATATACCATACTGTTCTTAATCACTAGCTACTGATGATACATTAGGATGCTTCCAATCTTTTACTACTATAAATCAGACTAAATCAATCTCTTTATTATTTTGCACAGTCACAAGGATGTTGTTAAGTGCCATAGTTGTTTCTGACTCATAGCGACCCTGTATAGGGTTTCTGAGAAGGTACTGGTAGGTTTGAACTGCCAACTTTGAGGTTCAAACTGGCATTGCAGTCTAGCGTATTATCCTGCAGTGCCACACCAGGACACCAATCATACTAAATGAATCTTGTTATATTTCATTTTGCACACTGACAAGGGTTGTTGTTAGGTGCCATCAAGTCGGTACTGACCCATAGTGACCTTGTGCACAGCAGAATGAAACACTGCCTGATCCTGGGCCAACCTCACTACTGTTGCCACACGTGAGTCCATCGATGCTGCCACCTGGCCAATCCATCTCGTTGGGGGTCTTCCTCTTTTTCTCCGACCCTCCACCTTAGAAAACATGATATCCTTCTCCAGTGACTGGTCCCTCCTGACAATATGTCCAAAGTATAAGAGACGAAGCTTAGCCATCTTGGCCTCCAGGGAGCACTCTGGCTACACTTCTTCCAAAACAGAGCTATTGGTTCTTTTGGCAGCCCATGGCACTTTCAATATTCTCCTCCAACACCACAACTCAAAGGCATCTTCTACTGTCTTCCTTATTCACTGTCCTGCTTTCCCATGCATATGAGGTTATTGAAAATACCATGGCTTGGGTCAGGCTGACATCTTTGCTCTTCAACACTTTAAAAAGTTCCCGTGCAGCAAATTTACCTAATGCAATACATTGTTTGATTTCTTGACTGCTGCTTCCGTGAGTGTTGATAGTTGATCCAATAAGAATGAAGTCCTCGACAACTTCAATCTTTTCTCCATTGATAAGAATGTTGTTTATTGGTCCAGTGGTGACGATTTTTGTTTTCTTGACAATAAGATGCAATCCATACTGAAGGCTGTGCTCTTTGATCTTCATCAGTAAATGTTTCAAGTCCTCTTCACTTTCAGCAAGCAAGGTTGTATCATATGCATATTGCAGGTTGTTAATGAGTCTTCCTCCAATCCTGATGCCATGTTTTTCTTAACAGAACCCAGCTTCTCGGATTATTTGTTCAGAATACAGGTTGAATAAGTATGCTGAAAGAATACAACCTCTGACAAAGGTTGTTGTTGTTGTTAAGTGCCGTCGAGTCGGTTCCGACCCATAGCGACCCTGTACAGGGTTTCCAAGGGTGTAAATCTTTACGGGAGTAGAAAGCCTCATCTTTCTCCCGCGGAGCGGCTGGTAGTTTCGAACCGCTGACCTGAAGGTTCGCAGCCCGATTCGTAACCACTACGCTACCAGAGCCACAGCTAAATTCCAGGAATCGGGGCTTCTGCATTAAAGGGCACGTACAATTTGAAGTTTGGCAAATACTGTCAGATTGCTCTCCAGAACTGTACCCTTTCTACCCTCACCTCAGCCCTGTATAAAAGTGCCATTTTTTGAGCAGCTTCTTTTTCATGAAGATTCTCTACCATTGAAAAGGCCCAGGATCCTGGGGGCCAGGCGCACACCCAAGACTCTGAGTTTAATGTACACGAACACTGTCTCTCCCCATGACTGTCCACACAATAGGACACTGGGTGCACTTTCACACCGACTTCACCCCTCTTCACTACCTTTGCTAACATGACCTCATTAACACTCAACCCGTTTCCTGTCTTGTTCCCCAGTCACGTTGTATTGACGAACAGAATTCCTTCTCTATCCTCTCACTCATCAGACTCATCACAGTTACTTCTTTAGTTTCCCTCCCTCTTCACAGGACTCACCTGGGACTCCTCGAGAGTCACAAGAAAATGTAAAGCACATAGGCATTTTTTTTTTTCAGATTCTTAGAAACCTGTAAGACCTAAAAACTGGTTGTTGTTGTTAAGTGCGGTCCAGTCGGTTCCAACCCATAGCGACCCTGCATACGGTTTTCAAGGAGCAGCTGGTGAGCTTGAACTACCGACCTTGAGGTTCACACCTACTTTGTAGTCTGGTGCATTAACCCATAGCGCCACACCAGGACTAGAACTGATACCAGAGATGTTTCTTACTTTTATTCTTGCTTATTCTCCCTATAACCCCCCCAAAGGGAGCAACGTGCCTGTACTGAACACTGAAATGACTTGTTTTTCTTACATAACCAAAGAAAACAGTTCAAAAAACCACGTACTTGAATAAAAGCCTTTGATGCTAGTATTATTCAGTGATTCTGAAACAATCTCCTTCAAACTGCTCTTACTCCGAGTGTCGCTGGCATTCAGTTCCACATAGCTATAACCCAATTCCTGAGTAAAACAGAGGAAACCATCACCATCACAAAGCAAAGCAGTGTCTCCAACAAAACAGAGTACAGAGGAAAGGGTAGCAGCGTGGCACCGAAGAGTCATGGGTTAGAAGATTACCAGACAATGAGGTTAACATAATATCTGCATCTTAATCTATGAAGCACTGTCTACATGTATATATATGGATCTAGAACACATTTATGCTCTAATACACCCAAAGTACGTATGTCTCACAGTGAGATTTTTTAAATATCATATAAATACACACCACGCACACACAGAATTTGGTCTGAAAACCACAGTTAGAAAGGCATATTTGGTAAAGTAATTTTACTAAGATTACTTCTAAAAAAAATTATTGTTGTTAAAGTGCTGTCAAGTCAGTTCTGACTCACAGCAACCCTGTAAAGGGTTTCAAAAGAGCAGTTGGTGGGTTTGAACCGTTGACTGTACAGTTAGCAATTCACTGCTTATCCTATAGCATCACACCAGGACTCCTCTAAAATTCTTAGAAAAAAATTAAATATGATCATCCCGATTTCAGTATGAGATAGAGGATTAATCTTGTTAACATAAAAATCTTGTGTACAATACCAAAGGCAACTTTTACCTTCTTAAGACATAATATAGTCTTTGACAAACTATCCAATACACAATTTTCTCTGCATACCATGAAAAATCAAATGATTCTGATATGTAAAACTGACAAGCTTATAAAATGTTTAATTCCATTTTCCCAAAAATAATGATTACCAATAAAAGAATAAAGGTAAATATAATTATGGACTACAGGGAAAGTCCTGGTGTGGCGCTGGGGGCTAATGTGCTGGACTGCAAAGTCATTTAACTGCAAGGTCAGTGGTTCAAACTTGCCAGCTGCTCCTCAGAAACCCCATACAGAGTCTCTATGGGTCGGAGTCGACTCAATGGCACTTAACAACAACAGGGACAGTAGTGGACCACAAGGCCGGAGGTTCAAACCCATCAGCTGCTCCTCGGAAGCCTTACACAAGGTCATTTTGAACCAGAACCAACTCGAGGGCACTTGCTGTTGTTGTTTAGTGTCCTCAAGTCATTTCCAACTCACAGCAACCTTGGAAGGGTTTCCGAGGAGGAGCTAGTGAGCTGGAACCGCAGACCTAGAGGTTCAAACCAACCTTGCAGTCCAGGGCATTAACACGCAGCACCACATCAAAACAACAGTTCTTCACGAGTGAAAGCTTTAAGACAGAACTCACCAGGACAGCCTTGCTTTTCCAGGTCCAGCAGCTTCCTGCCTCTGACAGGGACAGTGTTAGCACTTTTCTATCTCTGCTTTTAGTGGAAATGTTGATTTCCCTTCTCTAACAGTTTCCAACTTACACAGGTTCTAGTTTCCACAAGTTTTACTGAACCAGCTAAAAATGTCAGCTTTGGTCCATAAGACAGAGAATGAAAGAAACTACTAGCTCATAGGACAGAAGGTTGGGGAACTCAAAAATAAATTTTCTTTTATCGCCTCTTTTTTCACTTTGATCCCAACAAATAAGCTCTTATTTGCTCGAGATTCAGTCTCCTTTACCGTCTAGAGAAAGGACAGTACCAGAATCAAAAGACGAAGAGAAACACAGTTTCACATAAAGTAAAGAGCAGTCTCTGTGTACACGCACACGTACACACACACCCCTTCACCCATGCCCACTCCTCGGTCATCTTTCCAATGTACAACGACCCACCTGACAAACCAGGGAAGCTGTGGTAGTTTTGCCAACACCTGGGGGGCCTGAGAGCAATGCTGCCTTAAAACTAGAGCCGTCATCTTTGCCAGCAAATTTACCGAACTTTGCTGCTAGAAAAAAAGAAGTTTCAGAGTGTTAACCAGTATTGCCTAATAGACTGTCGAGAACAAGAAGAGCAGCTCTGCATAACCCTAACACTGAAAGGCATCCTCTAGCTGGGTTCTAAATCTGCAGAATGTTTTCCACAAAGTATAAGCAACAATTTCTAGAGCACTTAGTGAAATTCTACTCCCCATCTCATGCCCCACAGCCCAAAAAGAAAACACGCATACACACAAACAAATAAACTAAAGCAAACATTAAAATTCTGATTTTAAACAATACTTTCTTTTAAAACTTTCATTTCTGAGAAAACGCAAAGCAGACAGCCCAGTTCCGCCCCTAGCTCTACCAGGTGCCAGCTGAGAGTACTCTAGAAGTGGGTCGACCTCTCGGTGTTGCCAGGTAGGCAACATCTACTTGGTTTTCAAGTCTAGCTCACCCTCCCCTTTCTCCAGGCCGATGTCCCTGGCTGCAGCCTGTGCTCAGCTGGCTGGTTAATGCCTGGTTCCTATGTGTCTTCACAATGAGTGTGAGCTTCAGGGGGAAAGACGGCATTTCTGTTCACAACAGCACCTCCAGGACCTCAGAGCACCTGGGCTCAAAGCAGGCTAACTATGTTTGCTGATAGGTGAAAGAATCATTGCTAGACACCCTCAAATATGTGCAAATGAGCAATTACATGTGGACACACACACACATACACACAAATGAGCGACAGTGTAAAATCACCATGCTTTTTGTCTCCAGGTGGACTCTTGTGCCAGTTTTGTAGCCAGCGTAGGAGTTTGTTGGCACAGCTCTGGTCACCCTGCTGTCCAATTATGGTCTTGAGAGAGGTTGGTTTATACTTATCCACCCAGAGCAGATTCTCCACTTTGTGTCCCCTGCTGTCGTCAACTGTCTCCTCAGGCACCTGCTCCTCAAAGTCCAGGTTCTTGGGAAGCACACCTGTTTCTTTTCTCGTTGACTTCAAAGATCTGTCTCTTTGGGGAGTCAGCTTGCTCTTTTTAGATGCTGATTCTTTCTTATTTGGGCTAATTTTTCTTTTTCCTTGGTCACTTTTTTGGGGTGTTCTCTCCAATTTGGACTTTTCTTTCTTCATCTACAAAGTTGGAAAAGTTGGAAAAAAAAAAAACACCTGATGAGGCATAGAAACTCCATCCTAATAACTGAAGTCTAGAGGGCAATCTGAGCTATTCACAGGAGCCCCTGCTGGTTATATAAATCACCACCTCCCAACTTATGTAAAAATCAGCAACAAACCCACCAAAGTACACCCAAGCATATTTTTGTTAAGAACAAATTACTTTAGGAAGCTTGGTTGCTCACTCATTTGAAAAAAAAAGTACTCCAATTTCAATTTCTGACAAGTTAAAAATTAATGCTTCCACCAAAAGCTTATACATGGATGTTCATGGCAGCACTATAATTACCAAGAAGTGGAATCAGCACAAATATCCATCCACAGCGTCAATGACTGGACAAAGAAATGATCAAAAGAATACATGACTTCATATACATTCAATATATATAGTGGACATAGGATACAGCATCATTTCCGTGGCATTCTTGCCACAAAATGTGTAATCTCAACCTAATTGTGAAAATATCAAACAAGCTCAAACAGAGAGACAGTCCATAAAACTGAGCAGTGTCAAGACCATAAAAGACAGGAAAGGCTCACGAACTGTCACAGACTGGGGGAGACTAAGAAGACACAACAGCTAAATGCAGTGTGGGGTCCCCGATTGGATATCAAAACATTAGGTGAAAACATGAAGTTCTAGTAACTTGTGTAGGTCAGGTTAACAGTAATGTAATTTCCTGATTTTGATAACTATGCTATCATATCCACTGGTAACCTTCCAGGACATTGGGTCAATCTTTCCCAGACTTTCCCTAACCAGAAAGATCTGGTAAGACCCTCTCACCTCCGGATGACAGAACTAGAAACATGAATCTTAGGTTGCTGGCACCCAGTGTGCTAAGCAAGGAGAAGGCCTGTATGTAGTGGGGATGAATAAGAAGCAGAGACAGTGAAAGGGTCCTGAAAACACCCACAGCTTCGAGATCCAGCAGCTGCTAGACCAGACCCACCTTGCCAGAGGTTAGTTGTTGTTGTTGTGTGCCGTGGAGTCGGTACCAACTCATAGCGACCCTGTATAGGGTTTCCGAGGCTATAAATCTTTATGGGAGCACAAAGCCTCATCTTTCTCCCGCAGAACAGCTGGTAGTTTTGAACTGCTGACCTTGAGGTTTGCAGCCCAATTTGTAACCACTACGCTACCAGAGCTCCTCAGAGGTTAGTTATATGAGCCAATATATTTCCCCTGTTTGCTAAAGCTAATACAGGCTGTCTGTCACAATGGAAAAAGTCTTGCTATTGCCCTGAATGAAAATAAATTCACCGTGCTGACACCTATCATATGTCTTTTGAAGAACTCTTAGGCAACACCACAACCTTTGCCAAAAGTCAACTAAAGAAGATAGAAAATATGAAACGTTTAATAAGTTGCCATGAGAAGTGTTAACAGACTGTCCTCTACCCTCATGTTCCTTTTAAAAAATAAAGAAGAGAATCTGAAGCAAGGTCCTCCAGCTCAAAAGGAAGAAGCAGCAGAAACTCTTCCTCGTGGTAGAAACAGAAGTTTACGGTTTAGCCAACAGGCCTGTATCACCCAGGAATTGAAACGATAGCCCAGCTTAAATAAATCAGGTTCAGTGTATACAAACCTCAGCTTCGACTGCTAGTTCATACTTGGACTTCTTGCCTGGCATAGTACGAATCAAATTCAGTAAGCCATCTTCATCAATAATTTTTGTTCCCAAGGCTGCCGCCTATTGATTAAAGATTCGAGTCATTAAAACTGCCTTCTTTCTCATAAAACAAAAACAAAACAGGTAGGGTCTATAGAGTTGGTGAAAATACCACACTTGCAAATTAAGTAACACTGGAACACATAAAACATAATCATCAGAAAAGAGATCCTAGCAACAAAGTAGATGACAGATGTAGTCCTCAGAGTGGTAGGCTGGTACTCAACATGTGACATTAATACTTCTGTGGATTCTTTTAGCCACTCCCTCTACCCAAAAAAGGGGCAGAGCTACTAAGACTTAGGTTCAGTTCTTCACACTCTCTCCCTTGTTCCTTCTTGCTAACAGAGCTCCCATGTGCCCATCCCCGGTGAGAGATCAGCCCTGGCCTAAGACAATCAGGAGACTCCAGATCCTCTCCAGTTGCTCTTGCAGTTCTGAATGGTCATGTGATCAACTCTGGCCAATGAGCCTTCATTGGAATTCTACAGGTGTTCCTGGGAACATTCTCGCTTTCCTAATAAAAGAGAACAGTCACAGCTAGTATGACATCTTGTCACATGTCCCTTTCTCTTGCCTTAAAGGCAGAATTGACTTGAATGAAGCAAATTGCAGCTGCCTTGCAACTACAAGGCAACACGTATGAGGACTAAAGCTAACACAATAAGGACAACAGCACTGAAGATAAAATAATCTGACTATCTGATTGAACTACTGAACTATATCCCTAGCAACTGCCTACCTCTGGAATTCTTATTATCTGAGGTGAAATAAGCCACTATTTGCTTAAACAATGGTTATTTGGAGAACACTGTTACTTGAAGCTGAATACAATCCTACCCAAAAGACCCGAGTCTTCCCTTATGAGCTTCAAATAAAAAAAGGTACAATGGAGTCTACACATGGGCTGAGTCTGGCCATATTCCAATGACATCCATTGACCTTGAGATGACAGAGAAAAGAGGAAGGCCCAGATGGTCTAAAGTTCAGTTAGATGTGTGAATTCCCGAGACAATGGGCAATGATCTAGCCACTGGGGGGCCAAAGCTGAGAGTGAAGTCGTCAGCTGGTCTAACGTGTGGAGAGGTGTGCACGCAAACTTCCAAACTTGCAGCTAGTACTCATATGACATAGCTTGGATGGCTAGCTGACCAGAACTCAACCAGATGAAGATAAAGATGCTTGATAATTTGAGCAAGTGTAACCTGCTACAATTTGATGAACTGAAACCTTTGCTTATGGATGCAGTTGCTCAAAATTCCAAGCAGTATGGAAGGATATCTTTATATCAAGGAACAAGCTTATTTCCTCAGTGTGCTAGGTTGATAGGGATGGGCAATCTAAACATTGGCTACCAAAAATGAGGGGCTATAAGGGTATGAAGCGGCTGGCTTACAAGCTGGCATGTGTGTGCTTAGTTTCAGAACAGGAGGGTACAGTAGAATCCCCACTGAATAACTTTCCTTTTTTCCAGATGGATCTGGTCAAAGGGGATGGGGGATGATCCTGGTAGGATTTTATGATATATTGTAACTGGCAGCAGGATTCATCAAGATTGCCACAACTGTAATTGTAGAAGACATGTAACTAAAAGAGGGGAGTAGTTAATCTTTCATTGCAGGAACAGAGGACCCCAGAACCACGAAGAAGGAAAAGCATGACATCCTAATCTAGAAAAGCAATGACAGCAGACAGAGATGGTGGCAGGGGTGATGGTATGGAGAGATAAGAGCAGCTGTGGCTCTAGGCCCATAGACTGAGTAAGGCTGTGTGCCTTCGGGCAGGAGGCTAACTTGCAGAATATGCCCTTAGGACATTTAAATGAATATACACTTGCCATTTTGTACGTGTACATCAACTATTTTTGCACTGTTCATTTGTGAAATACAAGATATAAAAGGGAAGCCACAGGGAGGAAGCAGGATATCTGCTGTTGTGCGCACGCAAGGGTTGTAATCATTGAAATGAAGCCAAATGTATGCTTTGTTGAATGCAAAGCTGATTATCTTGTCTATTCATCTTCAATCAATTCACAATAAAAAATTAAAAAAAAAAAAATCTAGGGCTGATGAAAGGAAATGTGGATAGGTCTCTTGGGATATAATATTGAATAACTGTTATCAGGACTGACTGTTAGGGTTGGAAATGTAAAGGTAGACGTTTTGTAGCGAGGAAGGAGTGTTTACCTTTGCAGTCTTGGAGCGGAGGTCCCTGGGACCATCAAGGGAGAAGAATGGAGAGCGGGACCCTACCCAGAGAAGCTGTGATGCCTGAGATGGAGGCAGAGATGATAACATGGAGAGATGGAGCAGCTGAGGACTTTAGACACAGAGAGGGAGAGGGGCTGTGTGCTGACAACCGGGGGCGGGGGGGGGCAGGCTTGTAGGGTATACCCTTTGGTTGGTTGATGATGCATGGAGGGGATTGTAACCATGGCAATGAAATGATATACGATAGGATGAATGTAAAACTAATGTTCTCCCATATAAACTATCACATAATTCACAATAAAACATTATTTTAAAAAACTGCAGACTACAATGGCACGTATAGAATACTTATAACTAAACACACAAAAAAGAAAGAAAACTGCATTTGCTTCTATCTTCAAAAAGACTTAAACCTGAGTGTATACCAGGAAAGTCAAGGAAATAGGAACTGTGCTTTCAGTTGGAAAGCTGAAATCCTGGCATCAAAGCCAGTACCACTTCTGTGAAAAGGAAGTAATGCTAGGAAGACATTATTTTTCCACTATATTTTCCCCCACTTACACTGCGGTGTAAAGGTCCTATCAGAAGCTGTTGTGGAGAACACAGCAAGACCTACCTTATCGCTCTTGGACTGTCCGCTATCCCGGCCCATGACAAGGTAGTTTGTTTTCTTGCTGACATTTCCAGTTACTTTCCCCCCATAACGTTCAATTAGAGACTTGGCCTCATCTCGTTCAATGGACTCCAGCACTCCAGTGATTACAAATACAAGGCCTTCCAAGCAATTTTCAGCTCCCTAAAAAATACAATGTTCAAGCAGAGAGGAAATTACATGGTAGCTTTCCAAAGAAATAGTTGGCATCAAAATTACAGGAAGTTTATGATTCTTCTCATCTAACATAATTAACCTCAGCATGAAATATTTGCTGGAAACTAACAGCAAATAAGTAGCACTTCAAATTAAAACCTGAGAAATTCTTAACTAGGCTAACATCTAATAAAGTTATAAAACCAGCAATGAAAAATACACATTCAATACTGTTGTTTCTAAGTGCCATCAAGTTGGTTCCGACTCATAGTGACCCTGTCTGAATAAGGTATTCAAGGAGCAGCTGGAGGTTTGACCACCAACCTTGTGGTTATCCTACAGCGACAGAGCAAAGCTTATTAAAATTATCCATTCATATTTTCCCATTATGCTTGTTTTATACCTAAATGAGGTAACTAACTTAAATATAAGTAAATAGTCACATGCAACCCACCTACAGCAACTCCTGCTGTTGTTAAAAAAAAAGGGAAGATTTCAACTCGAACACTGACTTATGTGGCCCAAACAAGCTCCTGTCCTTCCCAGGATAAAAACAAATCCACACTAACAATCTGCCAGAAACCAGGTTAGATTATATTATTCTTGACGGCAAAGATAACAGTGGTAATATGAGGGGGCTTCAAAAGTTCATGGGAAAAGTCCATTTTTCTTTGAATTCCATTTTTCCATGAACGTTTTGAAGCCCTCTCATTCAAGAGATCCTAAACAAAGAAATCTGGATGGCGGAGACATTTAAACCTAAATAGAACTGTGTATAATTTTAGCACTTTTTATTTTTAAAACCTAATGGTTCAATTCTCTAGGTAAAATGACAAAGCAGGATAGAGGTAAGAGCAAGAAGGGAAGCCAGTAAATTCTATGAGAGAAGGGAAAAGCTTATAAATTCAAATCCTGCCCATCTATTGAGAGCCTCACCACCATTAACAGAACCAATGTTAACAACTGTCAGCCCCCCTAACAGTGCTTGGTGTGGTGCTGCAGGATAGCACTGGACTGTGAGCCACAAGGTCAGCAGTTCAAATCTACCACCTGCTCCTCAGAAGCCCTATACAGGGTTGCTATGAGTTGCAACTGACTGTTGTTGTTGTTGTTAAGTGCCGTTGAGTCGGTTTTGACCCGTAGCGACCCTGTACAGGGTTTCCAAGGCTGTAAATCTTTATGAGAGCAGAAAGCCTCATCTTTCTCCCATGGAGCGGCTGGTAGTTTCGAACTGCTGACCTTAAGGTTCACAGCCCGATTTGTAACCACTATGCTATCAGAGCGACTTTGAAACTAACTAGACAGCACTTAATAACAATAATACCGTAATTCTTGTATTCCTCTGCCCAAGATAATGCTTCCTCCTCAGCTTTCCTACCCAGAAATACTTCATTTTGGATCACACATACCTTTACTCCTAAAAATTTTGCATTTGGTCACATTAGTAAATTCAGTACTTTCAGCTGTGGGATAGGATAGACACTGGACTACTGCCTCAAGGATGGTGGTTCAACCCATTAGCTACTCCTTGGAAACCCTATGCAGGATCGCTATGCCTTGGAACTGACTCTAAAGCACTAATGACAACAACAATCAATCCAAATAAAGTAAGGCTTTTTTTAAAAAAGGCACCCAGCTGAATTCTTAGGTTCTCCTGTAGTATGCACTTTCTCCTACCCCTGATTCAGAGAAATCTCATTCCTATCATTTTTTATTCTTTACTCTTTCATTATAAGGTTTCTTTTGATTGAAAAATCCTTATATACCAATTTGCCTCTTTTCTTATTATTAACAACAAAAGATATCCATTTCTGTGATTTTGCTGTACAAGAAATTTGAAATGAATGAATGAGGTACCAAACAAACAAACAAAAACAACCAATGTTTCAAAAATACAGGTTCAAGCAAAATGAAAATTATGTATGACAGTCAAAGGCTGTTGTTGTTGTTAAGTGTCGTCAAGTCGGTTCCGACCCATAGCGGCCCTGTATAGAGTTTCCAAGCAGCTGGTGAGCTTGCGCTACTACTTTTCAGTTCAGACAACTTTGCAGTCCAGTGCATTCACCACAGCTCCATACCAAGACTCCAAGAACAAAGATCAACACAGACTTAAAACAGACTTAGCAAAGAAGAAGCCAAACTAAATTCAAACACCTCCCAAATACAAATTCAATCCTTCACAATTCATATGAAAAATTTACAAAGCTATGGTTCTGGAGAAAAAAAAGTCTCCTAACAACATTTCAAAGTCTCCCACCATTCCTTATTGTTCTAGTTAACGTTAGAGGTACTCCAATTCTTCTCATCAAATTTAACTTACCCTGGAAAATTCCACATTCAAGTCCTGGTGTGGCACTGTGGGTTAATGCACCAGAATGCAAAGCTGTTTGAACTGCAAGGTCGGTAGTTCAAGCTCACCAACTGCTCCTCAGAAACACTAAACAGGGTTGCTATGGGTCAAAACTGACTCAACAAGCACTTAACAACAACCCATACCCTAAACTATCATCTCCTGAAACCCACATGGTTTTGAACGTCTTTTACCTTATCCTCTCAACACTTCCAGCTTCCCTCCCATACTCTTTCACTAACGAACTCCTATTTTGGGACCAGCAAAGCACCCACCAGCCTCAACCTCCTCTTTAACATGCGTAAGTCGTCTCAAGCAGAGGCCTGTTCAATTGTTCATATATCATGAACAGGAAGCATAGGCGGCATCTTCCTCTAGCCTCCTATATAATCTATTAATATTAACCCCATGAAGCTCATGACTCCAATACACCATCCACTTTCCTTCTTTATTAGGGGAATTACTAATGTTCAGAAGAGGTCTGGATACACTTACCCCCTTATACCTTCTCAGAATGACAATTATCTTTCTCTTGCTGATATACCTTTAATTTCTCCCTTTCTGGTAGATCTATCCAATCACTAGGGGGTGGAGGATGTTTTTGATATCTCTAAGGTTGGTTTGAACCACAAGGCTGGCGGTTCAAGTTTATCAACCACTTCTTGGAAAATCTATACAGGGTCGCTGAGTCAGAACCTACTCTATGACACTTAACAACCACCTTATAAACTTTTACATTCTCCTCTCTCATTTCCCTCTCCCCTCCCTATGTTTAAAACCAAACATTCCCAAAAACATTCCCTCCTTACACTGTTTGTTTTATGTCCTCCCACTCATTTCAACCCACGCTCAGCAGGCTCAGCCTCCATCTTTCTGTGGAAATTGCTCTTGCACTAATGACTACTCATGTTACTAAATGAGGACTGCCCAGTCTTCTTGTAATTGGTGTCTTAGAAACGTGAGACGTAACCACTCATTCGTTTAAATCATACTCTCGCCCTCTGCTTCCCTGTGCCACCACCTTTATCAAGTTGTCCTCCCACACTGGGTTGCTTCTTTTGGTCTCCTTTTGAGTTTCACCCTCTCCTGCACTCCATGAAAGCCTTCTTCTCATCCTGCACTATTTTACCAGACGATATCAATTCCTTCAAGTTATTATTTACATGTCAGTAGTGTCCAAATGTTTACATTTGTCCTGAGCTCTAGTCACATACCCACAGGAAGTCCCTGGGCTATGAACTTCCAACTGCAGATAATTCGTGCTTGCCCTTTAATGTCACATAAATTTGCCCTCACTTGGAAATGATTAACCAACCCTTACTCAAATCAACCCCTACTGCAGCAAAGTCTTCATTACAACCACCTTCACTTGCTGCATGCATGTACAGCTTTTAAATCACTAAAGATGTACCTGTTCTGACTTACCCACAAATTAGACTTAAACGCATGCACAGCCCAGGGAAGGTCTATACTTGTCTACTCAGCATCTCCATGTGGATACCTCATACTCTAAAGCACATTATGTCCCTCACCAAATTCATTGTCTCCCAAAACTTACTCTCCCTCCAATGGCACCAGCATCCACCCATTGTTTAAGCCAATAAATTTGAAATCACCCAATTGATTCTTTCTAACTACTCATTTCCATTGATCATGCAAGTTCTGTGAATTTTACCTTTAATTGAATATATTTTTAGTTGAAATAATTTCACTTTTCATGACTTTCAATGCTCCTAACCCAAACAAGTCACTGTCATTTCTCACCATTTCTTTTAATGGAGCTATCTGTACCCATTCCTGCCTCTTCCTCCAAAGCCCCAGAGTGATCGTTTGGAAATGCTGACCTAGTCATGTTATTTCTCTATTTAAAACTCTTTCCTTATACATATGGGGCTTTGAAAGATGGATTTCTATTTTACCTTTTGGCCACTTCTATCCCTTGGTTAAGGAGCTCTAGTAGCGTAGTGGTTTCGAATCGGGCTGCGAACCTCAAAGTCAGCAGTTCGAAACTGCCAGCTGTTCCGCAGGAGAAAGATGAGGCTTTCTGCTCCCGTAAAGATTTACAGCCTCAGAAACCCTGTACAAGGTCGCTATGAGTCAGAACAGACTCCACGGCACTTAACTACCAACCCTTGGTCACTATGCTCCAACTACACTATTTTTTTTTAGTTCTTCAAATATCATGGAAGATCCGATTCCTGTTTAGGGATATCATATAAACTAGACATTCTCCCAGATCGCCCTTTACATCTAGTTGGAATCCCTTTATTTGGTTAAGTCTTCTAAATTCCACTTACTCCACAAATACCTCAGTACAAACCCATTCCTCACTTATCAGCATACTTAGGTTCCAAAGACTCGAACATTATGTAAAAAATGGAGGAGAAATGCATCAGATCACAAAATGAATGTGCCAAATCACATCTGAAAGCCATGTCCCAGTCAAGTAGACATATAACCTTAACCACCACAGCCAGCGTTACCCTCACCGTGTACCTCGGCATTCGTTACCATCAGATATATGTTATTAATGCAAAATAGTAGGATCGATTATTTTTTGCCACTGTCATAAATGTGAAATACTGGATAATGAGACAGTCAACAAGTGAGGAGGAGATGTACTTCCTAAAAACATCTTACATTTTTCCTTTAAGGTACACATCACAATCATAGCTAATAATATATATTTAATGTCTCTATCCTGAGCTCTGGTAGTGCAGTGGTTACGAATCAGGCTGCTAACCTCAAGGTCAGCCGTTTGAAACTACCAGCCGAAGAAAGATGAGGCTTTTTGCTCCCGTAAGGATTTACAGCCTCGGGCAGATGGACTGTTACTACAAGAACAAGCAACTTGCTTGCGCAGGAAACATCAAGGCAAGCGGTCAGGTCCCCTCAGTGCAAACCCCCTTCCAAGACTAAGATTCAATGGGAATACACGCTCTGATTGGTGACCACGCTCTTCACCGATAAGAAGTGAGGGAAAAACAGCAATGAAGTGGCGAGCTAAGCCCTACAACGTGGAGAATGAAGCGTTCAGCTGATAAAAAGAGAGGGCATATGCACAAGAACACCCACACTTTCAGATAATAACCACTTGACCTGGCTTCAATGACTGGATGATCAGAGATGAATCAGAAAAAGAAAGAAGAGGAAAAAAAGAGTAATCTGATACAATTTGATGAACTTGATCTACACCTATGGAAGCAGTAGCTCAAATGAGGAAACAAATTCGTACAGCAAGAATCATTCCCACCCCCTCCACACACAGAGCAAACAGGGATGGGCAACTTGGACATTGGCTACCCAAAATGGGGGGCGGGGGATTACAAAGGCAAGAAATGACTGGCTTACAAGCTTTCAAGAGGGAACCTAGAGCCAGGGGGTCTGGAGGAAGGCAGAATCTCCAGTGAGTAGTATCCAATCTGCCTAGGCGGAGCTGATGAAATGAAATGCAGATGGGTCTCTTGTTATACAATAGTGAATAATTGTTACCAGGACTGATTGTGAAGGTTGGAAATGTACAGGTAGACATTTTATAGCAAAGAAGGGAGGGAATAACTTTCCAGTCTAGGAGCTGAGGTCCCTAGGACATTAATGGAGAAGAGTAGAGAGCGAGACCCTACCCAGAGAAGCAGTGATGCCTGAGATGGAGGCAGAGACGACGACGTGGAGCGATGGAGCAGCTGGGGACTTTAGATCTAGAGAGGGAGAGCGACTATGTGCTGAAGACTGCGGGGGGTGGGGGGATAGGAGGCAGGCTTGCAGGGTACACCCTTTGGTTGGTTGATGATGTATGGAGGGGATTGTACCCATGGCAATGATAGGATGTACGATAGAATGAATGTAAAACTAATGTTCTCCATGTAAACTATCATATAATTCACAATAAAACTTAAAAAAAAAAAAAAAGATTTACAGCCTCGAAAAACCCTATGCAGGGTCGCTATGAGTCAGAATCGACTCCACGATACTTAACAACAACATCCTGAGTTAGAAGTAAGTAAGTAAGTGCCACATATTGCATTGTGTCCCTCCCCAAAATATATGTCAACTAGGCCGGGCGATGGTTCTCAGTTGTTGTTGTTGTCAGGTGCCATCGAGTCGGAACCGACTCATAGCGACCCCATGCACAGCAGAACGAAACAATGTTCGATCCTGGGCCAACCTCACTACCGCTGCCATACTTGAGTCCATCAATGATGCCACCTGGCTGATCCATCTCGTTGGGGGTCTTCCTCTTTTTCTCTGACCCTCCACCCTACCCAGCATGACATTCTTCTCCAACAACTGTTTCCTCCGGACAATATGTCCAAAGTAGGAGAGACGAAGCTTAGCCATCCTGGCCTCCAAGGAGCACTCTGGCTGCACTTCTTCCAAAACAGATCTATTGGTTCTTTTGGCAGTCCATGGCATGTTCAGTATTCTCCTCCAACACCACAACTCAAAGGCATCAATTCTTCTACAATCCTCAGTGGTTTGGCAGTTATGCAACAATGTAATCAACCAGCTGTCAGAGGATTAGTATAGTATGTAACAGCCTTACTCAGGTCATAGACATGATCTGATATAAGGTAGTTTCCCTGGGTCTGCATCACGTTTTACCTTATAAGATAAAAGGAGACAAATGATCAGAGAAGGAAGGACTTCAATACCAAGAAAGAAGGAAGAGCTGGGGATGGTGGGCAGCCTTTGAACCCAGAGACCCTGTGCTGAGAACCTCCTAGGCCCAGGGGAAGACTGATGCCAAGACACATGGACATCTGATAAGAATGCCAGGCCCACAGATGTTGAAAGGAGACATGAACCTTCCCCTGGAGCCAACAAAAAGAAGCCTTTCCCCAAAGCCTTCTCCACTGTGAGAGAGTAACTGTGTGAGGTAAAGTCATCCAACTGCAGTATTTCTATTTGAGCAGTAGTAGGTTACTAACAGGAGTGCCACAAGGCCACAGAACATAACTCTGGTCACTGATGCATTTCTCAACAGCCAGAGCAGTGCTTTGCTCTTAATGAACATTCCATAAATATTTGGCAGACGACAAAATGAAAGAAAAGCTCATAAAGATCTATCTAAAAAAAAAAAAAATCATAACATAACCAATTAAACTCATAATTTGCTAAATGTTGTGGAGTCGGATCAGACTCACAGTTACCCTACATAGGACCTCCAGGGCTGTAATCTTTGCAGGCGCAGAAAGTCTCACCTTCTTCCCATGGAGTAGCTGGTGGGCTTGAACCAATGACCTTGTGGTTTGTAGTCCAGGGCCTATCCTATGGAGTCACCGCAATCCCATAAACTTATAATGGTGGTGGTGTGGTGTAGAATCAGTTCAGACTCATAGTGACCCTGAATAGGTCATTTTTGGGGTTATAAATCTTTGTTGTTGTTAGGTGCCATCGAGCAGATACCAACTCATAGCAACTCTATGCCAACCTCACAATAGTTGCTATGTTTGAGGCAATTGATGCTGCCACTGTGCAAATCCATTTCACTAGGGTCTTCCTCTTTTTCTTTTTTCCTCTTTTATAAATCTTTACAAAAGCAGAAAACCTCATGTCTCCCGTAGAGTGGCTGGTATATTCAAACTGCTGACCTTGTGGTTAACAGTCCAATTCATAACCCACTATGCTGTTGCTTTGTTGTTAAGTCCTTTGAATTGGTTCCAACTCACAGTGAGCCTGAATAGGGTTTCTGAGGAGCAGCTGGTGGATTTGAACTGCCAACCTTATAGTCTGTAGTCCCGCACTGATCTCCTACAGAGCCACATCAGGATCCTTGTTGTTAAGTGCAGTCAAGTCTTTTCTGACTCATAGCAACCTTGTACAGGGTTTCCAAAGAGCGACTAATGGGTTTGAACCACTGACCTTGAGATTCAAACCAACAGTGCAGTTGAGTGCTTATCCTACAGCATCACACCAGGACTGCTGGATACTAGGACTCCTTAAACTCATAATAGCATTTAGCAAAATTCTCAGATTATAAACTGGAAATCTTTTCCACAATCCTAAAGTATACAGTATTCAACTGCCATCTGTACAAAGTACAGTGTTTCATACAAAACTAAAAGTTTAAATACATAGTAAAAAAATAAGACATTTCATAAGTGTTTTTGTGGGCTGTGAATCACACGGTTGGAAGTTCAAACCCACTAGCTGTTTCTCTGAAACCCTATACAGGTTTGATTCCCTATGAGCCAGAATCAACTTGATGGCACGTAACAAAGGCTACAAGCATACGAAATTAATAATTTGGCGCCTGATCATCATTGTTTCATCAGTATGCTACAATTTACCATTAAGAAATATTTCTGTAAGCCTTCACTCAAATCACAATAAAAAGTAAAAAAAAAAAAAAAAGAACTAATTCTGAGAAGAAATGTCATTTTTGTATAAACAAAATTATCTTGACTGACTCCTAGGTCTACTTGTTTTTTAAAGGAAAATGTTTCTGAGTATCCAGCAGTGTCGCAAACTGTGATAGTGTGGCACTGTAGGATAAGCACTAGATGGCAGGGTCGGCGGTTCAAGCTCACCAGCTGCTCCTCGGAAACCCTATACAGGGTCACTATAATCGGAAACAACTGGACTGCATTTCCCAACAGCAGCAATGACTGGAGACAGCGACGAGGTTTTCCCGCTGTTAATGTTTCATCATGAATTCTGAGTCAGCGCACCCATGGGCTCTGAGTGCTCTTACCTTTGGTATTTCCTTGGAGCCCAGGGCTTTGGGACCTTCTCGATTTAAGTAGCTTCGATAAGCCTGATAATTAGTGCGTTTCTTCTCCAAATCTTCAGGACTCGGAGACTTTGAGGAGAAGGAAAGGACACTGAGTGGTCATACAAACCAATATTCCCGTAAATTAAAACTATGTACCTACAAGTGACTATGCAGTCAAGTGTTGTCCAGCTTACACATTTCCCTGCATCAGCCCTTTTCAAGCCTGTCTGTTTTCTCTGAGGCATAACCCAAGTTTCTAGCTCTCAGCAAATAAAATGAAAGAGTGTGTCTCTGTTGGTTTTTATCTTTCTCTTTGACATGGTTTTTTAACTTATAAGATGGCCCAAATCTCTAAGAGCAAACAAAATACTACTTTAATATAAACCACTGACTTAAAATGATAGCTAAGCTAGTTAAATATCTGTGAGTTAAATACAGCATTTTGGGATGGCTCTAGAGACAAATCATTCTTTTTGAACAGTGTCTCTCAAACATTAATATGCATTTAGATCACCTGAAGAGCTTCTTAAAATACAGATGCCCAGAGACAATGATGTGGAAAGACAGCTGGGAACTCCAGACCCAGAGAGGGAGAGGGGCTGTGTGCTGATGACTGGGGGGCAGGCTTGCAGGGTATACCCTTTGGTTGGTTGATGATGCATGGAGGGGATTGTAACCATGGCAATGTAACGATATACGATAGGATGAAAGCTAATGTTCTCCCATGTAAGCTATCACGTAATTCACAATAAGACATTTAAAAAAAAAAAAAAAGGCAACTGCCCAGACTACAGGCCCTGGGAACCCATAGGTTTAGCAAGCATTGCAGGAGAACCCAATGCACAACAAGATGGCAAACTCATTCATTAATAACATCAATCAGATGAAAAAAAATCTCAATTCTAAACAACTTACACATTTCAAAGTATACTCATTTATGAAGTCAGAATTGCCTGCTACTTGACCAAGATTAACTAAATTTATTAAATAGATATTTGTATTTCCAAACTGGTAAGCAAATTTTTGGAGTCTTTTCTTTTCTACTCCAACTGTGAAAAATACATGAAGAGTAACAGTGTCATTTAAAGATTCGTTTTTCTTTTAATAAAAACAGACAAGCCTCTGTAACCTGAACATTATTTAGTGGCCTAAAGAAAAACATTCATCTGCCAGATAAATATTTACTGAAGATAAATCTGACACCAAAAAGTTAATTGTTCCTCTAAGCATATTTATGAACAATGACCAGACATAAGTATTTTGATATCACCCCCCTTTTATTGTTTGTTCTACACTAAAAAATAATGGTGATGAACAGCTAAAACAGACAACATTTTGCTTTTAAATCTAAGTGCCCAAGAGGCATGAAGGAATAACTATCTAGCGGTTTTTCATTATGGAGACAATACAGTTCTACATTCAAAGAGACCGTTTGCTTCTCAAATATATTTGAAAGTAAAGAAAACTTTTGAAAGGCATTCTATACGCCATTGGTTTTTTTCTTTGCAAATGATTTCAGCATCTCAGCAGTTATACAAGAGCAAAAAGGTGCACATTCAGAACAAATTCCAGTAACAATTATTTTAATAATAATAGCTAAATCTCACAGAGCACTTATTATATACCAGGAAAGTGGCTTCATTTATTAACTCACCAGGTACTCTTAACCCCATTTTACACATGAGGAAATTAAAGCAGCCAAAGCTTAAGTAGCTAGACCTAGACCACAGTCGTCAACATCTATTTACTGGCAGGGCTACAATTCAAAACTGGCTCCAGAGTCCCACGCTCGGAGCCACTATGTCATCCAGGTTTTTGTTTTTTGGGTTTTTTTCTAACTACAGAAGACCAGGTGTATACTTACATATTACCTTGAAATAGCTAAATGCTTTCAGCCAGTTTCTTTCACTCTTTAAAGATGAACAATAAAATCAAATACTGTTGTGAAGATTTACATACTTAAAATATTAACACAACATCTAACACACAACAAAACTCAAATGCTGGTTAACATTAATTATATTCATATGTAATATTTGGGCATGTTAATCAATATAAAAGACTAAGCCATATTAATAATCTGCATGTTGGAATAGCTTATATGTAAGATGACATCGAAAACGTTACCACCCTGAGTTCTAAAGTTAGAAATATTTCAGCCCTGCCAATCAAACCCAGATTAACCTGTAACTTTATAATGGTATAAAATTTATTAAATAGCTACCTCTTTTTTAGTTGGAGAAGTTTTCGTTTTGGGAGTTTTTGTCTCTCCTTTCAATTCAGTAACATTTTCTGGTGTTTTTGAGTGCATGTGCTCTCCTTCTTTAAAAGAACTTTCGTTTTGCTTTTTGAAAATTGCCAGCTTAGAAACGGCCTTTATAGGAGAGGGCTCCGCTTTGTGTGGTGATGGCTTAGACTGACGGCGAGATTCTTTTGAACTTTTATATTTAGTTTGTTTCTTGGGCTTGGGGCTGCAGTACTTTTTCACATCTGCAAATTGTTCTATTTTTAATAGGAAAAAAAGAAAATATTAAGATACTGTTTTTAGAAAAATCAGGCCTTATCAAAAAAAAAAAATTTTTTTTTTTCATTTTCCAACTAGCAATCTTAGTAGTAAATATGGTGATTTCATTAACAGATTAAGATTTCAGTTCTATAACTTATGTTGCTGATGTTAAATGCCTGTGAGTCGGTTCCTCCCCATAGTGTATTGCATTAGGCAAACCTGCTGCAAAAGACCTTTTTAAAGTGTTGAAGAAACGAGCAAAGATGTTAGCTTGAGGACTAAGGTGCACCTGACCCAAGCCATGGTATTTTCAGTAACCTCATATGCATGTGAAAGCTGGACAGTGAATGAAGAAGACCGTAGAAGAATTGATGCTTTTGAGTTATGGTGTTGGGGAATATTGAAAGTGCCATGGGCTGCCAAAAGAACCAAAAAATCTGTGTTGGAAGAAGTGCGTCACAGTGCTCCTTGGAGGCCAAAGATGGCCAACTTCGTCTCTCATACTTAGGACATATTGATAGAAGGGAACAGTCGCTGGAGGAGGATATCATGTTTGCTAAGGTGGAGGGTCAGAGAAAAAGATGAAGACCCCCAATAAGATGGATTAGTCAAGTGGCAGCATCAATGGACTCAAGCGTGGCAACAGTAGTGAGGTTGATCCAGGACTGGGCAGTGTTTCATTCTGCTGTGCATAAGGTTGCTATGGATCAGTACTGACTCAATGGCACCTAACAACAACAACTATAATTTTAAAATAAACTACTCATTTCTTGAAGTAATACTGTAATGTACATTTTGTTGTTCTTGCCATCAAATCAGTTTTGACTCACAGTGACCCTGTACACAGTGTCCAAAGTGGGACTGAGTTGTGGTTAGCAGTCTAGCGCTTATCCTGAAACACTATGAACATGTTATGCATTCCACAGTTAGACTTCAATTCTCTGATATTTACAAAGGAAACTTATTGACTATAATATGTCACATAAAAATTTTGTGCTATTCAACCTTGGAATAACAGGGTTCTGGGATACAGGGATTGAGACATGGCTGGAAATGCAAAAGGGGGGAAACAATGTTATGATGCTTAGGGCTGTCTTTTGAATCTTGGTTTCCCTTGCATACCATTATAAAATAGACAATGGAAGGAGAAAGGAATAGTCAGAAATATCACTATAGAACGCTTCTAAGTCCATCTTCTGCCTGTAACTGAATGGAATACCTAAAATAGGACTACAACGTGCCCAGTGAAGGAGGCTTCCTGTGGAGCCTCTGCATTACATATGACCATAGGGGGAATCCTGAACCCCATCCAGAAACTTCTGAGATGGGAAATTTCCACTTGAAAAGACAAGCAGACCAGCCTGGAGCGACTAGAAGAACAGAGGATACTTCTTGAAAGAAAGACCGACAGGAAAAATATAAAACAATAACTGCAGACTGACTGACTACTACAAGAATAAGCAAGTTGCTTGCCCAGGAGACATCAAGGCAAGTGGCCAGGTTCCCTCAGGGAAAACCCCCTTCCAAGACTAAGACTCAATGGGAATACATGAGCAGACATGTGCTCTGACTGGTGACCACGATGGTTAATGATAAGGGAAGGTGAGGAAAAAACAACAGTGAAGCAGCAAGCTAAGCCCGACAACGTTCAATAGACTCCTGTGAACCCGGGTGGAGACCTGGTTGGCCAGCAGTGTGGCAAGACCTGAGGACTCTTGGGCCTAGAGTCAGTGACATAGCCACAGAGGACTAGAGTCCTGGAGAGTGAAGCATTCAGCTGATAAGAAAGGGCATATGCACAAGAACACCCACACTTACAGATAATACCCACTTGACCTGGCTTCAATGACTGGATGATCAGAACTCACTAGAAGAAGAAAGAGGGGGAAAAAAAGAGTAATCTGATATAATTTAATGAACTTGACCTATACTTATGGATGCAGTAGCTAACGAGGAAACAAATCTTTACAGCAAGGATCACTCCCACCCTCTTGATACACAGGGTAGACCAAGATGGGCAACTTGGACATTGGCTACCCAAAATGGGGGGGGGGGTACAAAGGCAAGAAGTAACTGGCTTACAAGCTTTCAAGAGGAAGCCTAGATCCAGAGGGCATGGAGGAAGGTAGAATCTCCGAGTAGTATCCAATCTGTCTAGGCGGGGCTGATGAAATGAAATGCGGATGGGTCTCTTGTGATACAATAGTGAATAATTGTTATCAGGACTGCTTGTGAGGGTTGGAAACTTTGTAAAGGTAGACATTTTGTAGCAAGGAGAGGGGTGATTAACTTTTCAGCCTAGGAGCAGAGGTCCCTGGGACCATCAAGGGAGAAAAGCAGAGAGCGGGACCCTACCCAGAGAAGCAGTGATGCCTGAGATGGAGGCAGAGACAATGACGTGGAGAGATGGAGCAGTTGGGGACTTTAGACACAGAGAGAGAGAGGGGCTGTGTGCTGAAAACTGGGCGGCAGGCTTGTAGTGTATATACCCTTTGGTTGGTTGATGATGCATGGAGGGGATTATAACCATAGCAATGAAATGATATACGATAGGATGAATGGATGAATGTAAAACTAATGTTCTCCCATGTAAACTATCACATAATTCACAATAAATTTTTAAAAAATAATATGGAAAGTACACAGTTACTACACCAAAAAGAAATGGTCCATGTTCAATCATTTCAAGAGGCAGAATATGCTTAAGAGCCAATGGTACTAATGAAAGAAGTCTAAGGTCCACTGAAGGCATTGGCAAAGAATAAGGCTCCAGGAATTGATGGAATACAAATTGGAATACTTCAACAAACTGATACAGCACTGGAAGCACTCACTCATCTACGCCAAAAAATTTGGAAGAAGTAACCTGGCCAACTGATTTGAAGAGATCCATATTTGTGCCCATTTCAAAGAGAGGTAACCCAGTGGAATGCAGAAATCACTGGACAATATTATTGGTATCCCATACAAGTAAAATTCTGCTGAAGATAATCTAAAAATGACTGCAACAGTACACTGACAGGGAACTGCTAGAGGTTCCAGCTGAATTCAGACAAAGACATGGAGTGAGGGTTATCATTGCTGACATCAGATGAATTTTGGCTAAAAGCAGAGAATACAAGGATGATGTTTACTTGTGCTTTATTGATGATACAACAGTGTGGATCATGACAAGCTATGGATAACATTGTGAAGAATGTATATTCCAGAACTCTAGATTGTGCTCATGAGAAACCTGTACACACAACAGAAGGCAGTCAATCAAACAAAACAAGACAACACTGAATGGTTTCAAATTAGGAAAGGTGTGTGCCAAGGTTATATTCTTTCACCATACTTATTCAATCTGTACTCTGGCAAATAATCCGAGAAGATGTATTAGATGAAGAAGCATATGACATCAGCATTAGAGGAAGACTCATGAACAAACTGCAACATGCAGATGATATATCTTTCTGGCTGAAAGCGAAGAGGATTTAAAATACTTAACTGATGAAGATCAAAGACCACACACAGCCTTTGGTATGGGTTGTACCTCAATATAAAGAAAACAAAAATTTCACCACAGCCACCAATAAACAACATCCATATAAATGGAGAAAAGATTGTGGAAATTGTCAAAAACTTCATTAATGCTTAAATCCACTAGCAACACTCATGAAAACAGCAGGCAAAAAAAAAAACATTAGGCAAATCTGCGGCACAAGACATCTTCCAAGTGTTCAAGAGCAAAGATGTCACTGTGAGAACTAAGGTGCATCTGATACAAGCCATGGTATTTTCAATAACCTCTCATGCATGTTTACGCCAGACAACAAACAAGTTAAGACCGTAGAAGAATTGATGCAATTAGTTACAGTGTTGGAGGAAAATATTTAAAGTACCAGAAGAATAAACAAATCTATGTTGGAAGAAGTATGTCCAGAATGCTCCTTAGAAGCCAAGATGGCAAGACTTCGTCTCTCATAATTTGGACAAGTTACCATGAGGGTCCAGTTCCTGGAGAAGGTTATCATTTTTGGTAGAGTGGAAGGTCAACAAAAAGAGGAAGGTCCCCTAAGAAGATGGAATGGCACAGTAGCAGCAGCAATGGGCCCAAGTATAACAACAACTGTGAGACAGTGCAAGACTAGGCAGTGTTTGTTCTTCTGTGCATAGGGTCACGAGGAGTCTGAACGGACTCGGTGGCACTTAACAAAAAGAACATAATGCCATCAGATGGTTCCATACCAGAACCCCTAAAAAATAAAATCTATCATCAGCAGGAGTGCTTCAGATGAGTCAACTCTTTAAGATTATCTCTAAGATGAAAATCTCTAAACTTCTTAATATTGGTCTTCCTAAAGTCCACATATGACACTGCATTCAAAACTGAAAAGATAACCAAGAACTTGCATACGTTTATCATGACCATCAGAGCTGGACATTGTGTAAAAGCTCATAATCAGGCAGCTTTCTAAGTCACCTGAGTAATACATGTCTACATACCCTCTGAAACGTCTACCTAATAATACATGGCAAGGCAACTAATTACTGAACAGAACATGAAAACAAGGCTATCAGGGATTTGATAAAGACAAACATTCTACCTTACTTTTTTTCTGGTAACATTACCTTTATAAAGATAGATATGATTTTCTATCTTACTTAAATTGGCTTGGATAGACGAAGACGTTTCTTTTCCTTCTGGATCCTTCTGAGTCTAAGAAAATTTAAAAAAGTATCAAATGTGACAAATAATAGAAAAACAATTACCACAAAATCTCGTTAAAGTTGACTGAAGTTTTAATTTTAAGTTACAAAGCTACTTATCAACCTAGCAGTACACTACATTTAACATTTTTCATTCATCTATACAATTTCTGGGGCAAATAAAGCATGCTTTATTACTTAATTTTATACCGATGTAAGGGTATAAAAATACATCTATAAAACACACCCTAATTAATCCCAATCTTGGAAATTTGGAAGTATAAACATTATTTCTGTTTCTCTCATCTTTAACTCTAAAATTTCTTAGCATTTTTTAGGTAAAATCTACAATCCAAACCATAAAGAGTTTAAAAATAAAAACAATCTAAAGCTCAGAAAAAAGGAAAATAAGAGTATTTTTTCAAAAGATAATTCATTCTCTCCATCACTACCTGCAAACCCGTTTTCAAAGATATCACAGAAAAGAATTTCTGAAACAGCATTTTTTTTTTAACTATTATAATTTGAATGCCTTTAGATGGAATAAGGCTTTTCAATGGGCAAAGTCCCCACTACCTCTTATTGCCTTAACACCTGCCTGCTTAAGTCTTGGCCCCCGAAAGTATTACATTCACAAATGCCTACTTTGAAGGGAAGAAGTAACATCTTTTTAAGATATCAGATATCGATACTAACAATTAACAGAATACAGTTCATTAGAAATAAGGCTAGTTCTTGATGCTTTTAAAGATCTCTCTGTCAAAATGCTTGTTATTATTTGCAATTGCCGTATTATAGATCTCAAAGTCAGCCAATTAAACAAATTGTGCTTTCCAAAGCAGGCAGTAATTCATATTCATGTACATTCCATAGGAATTTCTATAAACATTTTTCTCTAAACAAATACATAAAACCCCCTCATGAAATAAGGAAAAGGCACAGTTCCTTTGTGTGTGTGAGAGAGAGACAGAGAGAGAGAGAGAGAGAGAGAGACAAGAAAGGTCTATTTGATGCTGTCAATCTTCTTTAAGCAGGATACGTTTTTCATGAGCTTCCCAAAAATATTATTATAAATTACAATTATTTAACTGTGTTCTGGTTGTGCATCTAATGCCTAGAGTACAGAGATATGAAAAGGAACAATGATTTGTGTCATACACCCAGAGTGCACACAGCTTGTCATAAAGCCACCTTTTTGGTCTTGGTCTCTTCATCCAGCATGGCTAACGTTCTGGCAAACTCTTCGTCCTCGTGCAGTTGCCTCTCCAACTGTAAAAAGTGTCAACACAGGCGTTGTTTTGATCTTTATTTAAATGATGGCTGATTCATGATACTTAAAAACACTAGAAAAACACTTTCCAGGAAATGATTATGGTTATTTTTAAACTTAACATTAATAGTCAAGCATCAGAGACTGGTTTCACTAAACCAAACTGCATTTCAGAACATACATTTTTAGTTGAACCAAAGCCACTGTCATCAAGTCAATTCTGACCCATTACAACTCTACAGTTCAGAGCAGAACTACTCCATAGGGCTTCCAGTGTGGTCAGTCTTTACAGAAGCAGACTCCAATGGTTGGTTTTAACTGGTAAACTTTCCGTTAGTAGCCCAACATGTAACCTTACCAGGCATGATAAATAAATAGAGCATATTTTGAAAGTCACATTTCGTATAAAATTCAGAGCCTCATTTTAACAGTCCTAGTACAACGCTTGTTGTTATTAAGTGCCATCAAGTCAGTTTTGACTCAAAGCAACTCTGTATAGGGTTTCCGAGGACCAGCTGATGGGTTTGAACCGCTAACCTTGCAGTTCACGGTCCAGCACCAAAGACCTCTTATTTCTATTGACTTTAAACTCTAAAAGCACTCTGAAAGGAATTTCGCCCTGATAAAAAAACAAATCTGAGGTGCACAAAAGAAAGACCGAATCTAGACCAGAGTCTCAGGGGACACCATGGTCAGTTGGTATAACTGTTCATAAAGACAATGTTCTATAACCTACTTTGGTGAATAGCAACTGAAATCTTAAAAGCTCACGAGCGGCCATCTAAGGTGCAACTATTAGTTTCTCCATGTGGAGAAGAAAGAGGAGGGATGAAAATTTGAAAATACTTATACTCAACTAGTCAAATTTACCAAGGGAGCCTGTGAACATCAATCACTACAACTCTGAGACCAGAAGAACTTAGATGGTACCCAACTACCACTATCACCTGCTCTGAAGGGGATCACGTTAGAAGGTCACAGATAAAGGAGAAAATGTGGACTAAAACTCTTAATTATTTAATAAAAGAAGACTGGGCTTACTCGTTAGAAAGAGACTGGAGGAACCTTTAGGTCTGGAATGGAACTCACCCTCGTGGTATAATTTTCAGCCAAGTGGGAGATAGGTATACAGGGGAAACAACAACACTAGTAAGTATGCTAACCATGGAATGGTCAATCATTCAAGATCAAAAGGACAAAGTTGAGAAAGGATGAAAAGACGAGTGGAATGGAAATAGGAACCAAAGAGAGGACGTGGGAAAACCGTTGTTGCATGGAGGGGACTGCAATCATTGAGATGAAGCTAACGTAAGATTTATTTAACACAAAACTGATGATCTTCTCTGTAAAGCTTCTATCAAGTCACAATAAAAAAAAAGGTTTAAAAAGAGAGAATTACGTTAGAACATTACATAATAGTTCATTTCCTCTACACATTATATAGCAGTCTTAGAATAACAGCAATATAACTTCTAATAATTTAAGTACTAAAGATTGAAAACATTTCTTTCCCTGTAAAATTTCTATTAAGTTAATTTCACTAAAAATATACATTGACAGAGGACCCTAGGACCATCAAGAGAGAAGCGCACAAGCAGAATGCGGGAACTTATCCAGAGAAGCAGCAGCGCCAGAGATGGAGGCAGAGATGGGGGCATGGAGAGAGGGTGCGGCTAAGGACTCTAGATTCATCAACTAAGAAGAGAAGGACTAAGAACCGGTGGCCAGGAGCAGACTTGCAGAATGTGCCCTTTGGAGATATAAATTATTATATATGCCTGAGTGGGTTTTTTTGTTTGTGTGTTTGTTAAAAAAGCTAAAGTGGATAGAGAGAAGTACTTTTAACTGATGATATATGGAAGGGATTATAATCAACGTAATGAAACAAGTTATATGAATGGTTGAATGTGAAACTGATGATGTGCCCTGTTAACTTTCATTCAATCCACAATAAAAACCTTAAATTAAAACAAAAAAACATATTATATATATATACATTGAATTTACTGGCTTTCCAGTCATTCGTAACTGCTCCTCTCTGTGTGGTTTTGCTACTGGTCAGATATTATTTGTTCCTATTGTATTTTTAAAGTTTGGTTTTGTAAATTTATTTTGGTATAACTATCTAAAATACTTATAGGTTTACAAAGTCAAATCAACAGAACAAGATACTGCAATAAACTGGATTCTTATTCTCTATGAAAAAAATATATGAAAAAAATTGCATTTCTTTGCATATAAGATACATACACAAATATAATCATCAAACTCCTATTTTCAATTACTAATTCACATACATCTAATGAGTTCTGAAACTATGAATCATCAAGTAGTCTATCTAGCATGCTGAAGTAATACACAAAGCAAACATTCTAATTATCTTGCTGTTCTTTTCCAGATATTTTCACATTCAAGCAAATGTTGGTCTTCCAGAGGAGAATGTATGGCAATAGAAACAGTTCTCATTCTAAACTAAATGGTGTTATGCCTTCCAGTAAAGGGGCCTAATTTAATCCAAACAAAAGCCACTCTTTTAATATTCAAATATAAAGGGAAAAACTCAAAATCCTCTCAATCCAAAAGAACGCGTTTTGAAGCAGGCAAAAACTGGGTGAGGACACAGCCACCTTTCCCACGTGTGCAATGAACTATGAGTTGGATAAACAGCACACAACAACAACAACAATCACTTCACAGTTTTACCTGGATCACCTGTGCTACCTTAAATTGTATGGAGACTTGTTTGTAGGTTCATGTAATTCAGTCATCAAACTATAAACTTCCAAATTAATAAAACATGAACAAGCAGATGCATTTGTACAATGAATTTAAGCTGCACAGAAGTGTAAGTAAGCCAGACAGATTCAGTAAGTACATTCTGTTAACTAGCATCTCTTAACCAAAATTGAACTACACTTCTATTGGCTGAAAACAATATGAAAGCCTTGCTTATAAAAAGGTCTTTTCAAAGTCTGAACAAACCATGGCAATGGCAGATCTCTGTACCACTATTGCAAAATCACACGTTTATAAGTATGCTTCTGGTAAAGAGGTTCCTCAATGTTTTAGAGGGCAACACAGAAAGAAATAACTGATATGCTTCTATCAGAAGCTCATTCTTGGTGACTACAGCATGATGTGCTCAAGAGTCCCTTATTGTAACACATCACTTGAATAACACACTGGCTTCCATGTTAGACACTAGACTCACATTAAGCAAGAATAAAAGTAGAGGTGGGAAAGAAGGGGAAAAATAACCTCGTAGGGAGACAATTCAGGAGCTCTGGTGGCGCAGTGGCTACAGTGCTTGGCTGCACTTTGAACCCACTAGCCACTCCACAGGAGAAAGATGGGGCAGTCTGCTTCCATAAAGATTGCTGTTGTTGCTCTACCTAAAAGTTGGTTCTGACACATAGTGACCCTGTGTAGGGTTTCCGAGGAGTCTCCTGGGCATCTCAAATCTAATGTGTCCAAAACAGAGCTCTCTATTTCTCTGTACCAAACCTGTTCTGCCTCCAGTATTCCAGTCTCAGTAATGGTGACACCATTCAGCCAGCTGTTCAGACCAAATTAGTGGAGAATTATCCTTGAATTCTCTTTCCCACGCTTATTATACCCAATCTATCAGCGAAAACTTTAAGACTGTACCTTCAAAACACATACAAATGATGACTACCTCTTACATTACCCCCCAGGTGTAAGCCAACATCTGTCATCTACCCTACCAAACTGGTCTGCTTCTGCTATTGCCCCGCCATGGTCTATCAGCCTCACAAAACCACCAGAACCCAAACAATATAACTTGTTTTATCAAGTTATATTGTTTCTCTATTCAAAACTCCAATGGCTTTTTATCTGAGACTAAATCCAAACCCTTACCATCCAAACATCTAAGGTCAGTATCAAATATCTATCATGACCTACAGGATTTGATGCTGGCCATTTCTCCAAACTAATCTCATACCATCATGCTTACACTCTTCCTTGAACACAGAGAGCACTCCTACCCCAGGACACATGTACTCTCTTTACTCTGTTTAGAGGAAATCTTCTGTAGATAACCAAGCGTGCTGGACTGCATTTTATGTCTAACATCACTTGCTCAGAGGGGCCTTCCTAACCTCTCTATTCAAATAAGAGTACCCATAACTCCAAGGAGCTCTGGTAGCGTAGTGGTTACAAATTGGGCTGCTAACCTCAGGGTCAGCAGTTTGAAACTATCAGCTGTTCCACAAGAGAAAGATGAGGCTTTCTGCTCCCATAAAGATTTACAGCCTCAGAAACCCTGTAAAGGGTCCCTATGAGTGGGAACCGACTTCATGGAATATCACCACCACTACTCATAACTCCACTAATTATCCTCAAACTCTGGATCCTTTTACAATTTCTCCCTAATGGCTACTTTTTAAATAATGTTGTTGTTAAGTGCCATCAAGTCAATTTCAACTCATAGCGACACTGTATAGAGTCTTCAAGGAGTAGCTGGTAGGCTTGAACCTCCAACTTTGTGGTTAGCAGTCCAGTGCTGATCCTACAGCACCACACCAGAACTCCATATGTACACCATACACACACACACACACACACACACACACACACACATATAACATCTATATACAATATACATACATATATTTGAACTGCAGTGCTAGACACTCAGTAAGTGCTCAATAAATATTTGTTATATGAATACATGGGCTTCAGATCAAGAAAGAGCTATGTGAGGATTCTAGCTAGATTCATGGGAAGAGAGGAACTGAAAGCTGGCAGTCAGGAGGCAGACTTGCAGAATGTGCCCTTTGGTGGAATAAATTATTATATATGCCTGAGTGTTTTAAAAAAAAAAAGAGCTAACGTGAATAGAGAGAAATACTGTTAACTGATGGTACATGGAGGGGATTATAATCATTGTAATGAATCAAGGTGTAGGATTTGTTGAATGTAAAACTGATGATCTGCCCTGTAAACTTTCACTCAATTCACAATAAAAACTTATAAAAAAAGAAAAAAGAGCGAGCTATGAACTGGAGATAGATTACAAGCCATCAACATATACTGAGAAGTGGATGAGAGGTGGAAGGTAAGAAGAGTGACAAGATCTGAAGCGGACTGGAATCAATTTGTCCATGAACTCAGTAAGTGAGTATCAATCTCCACAACTCTGACACAGAAGAACTAGACGGTGCCTGGCTGGCTACCTCTACCAACTGCTCTGGAAGGGATCATGTTAGAAGATCCCCGAAACAGTGGAGAAAATATGGAACAAACATAATTATTTAAAAAAAAAAAAAGACTGGGTTTACTGGTCAGAAAGAAACTGGAGGAACCTGAGAATATGACCCACGAACACCCTTCAGAGCTGGAAAGGAACTCACCCTCATGGTTCAATTTTCAGTCAAGCAGTCGATAGGTTTATGAGGAGGGCAAGGCATGCTCACCATGGAATTGCTAATCATTCAAGATCAAAAGGGCAACATTTTCCTAAGAACAAAGTTGAGAGGGGGTAGAATGCAGGTGGGAACCACAGGGAGGAAGGGGGATAACTGTTGTCCCATGGAGGGGGTTATAATCATTGAGATGAAACCAAGTGTATGATTTGTGGAATGAGAAGCTGATGATCTTGTTTGTAAACCTTCACTCAATTCACATTTAAAAAGTCTTAAAAATTTTTAAAGTAGATGAGAAAGCCTAGAATGTATGCATAAAAGGAAAAGAAAATCAAGCTATTATAAATAAAGGATCCTTTCATTTAAAAAAATCAAGTACTACACCTTTAAGTAAATATTTATTCCCAGCTTTAATCATTTAGCTTTCATTTAAATTTAGATCTTCCTATCTGAGGGGGCTTGTCTGCCTAGAGCAATTAGCAGTCATAACATCAAGTTATCAATGATATCTAAACAAAATGCCAATACCTCTGCATCTTCATCAAGTTGTAGTTGCTTGGCGATGGCTTCATCATTTAATCTGGAATCATCTGTATTTTTTGAAGGCTATATTTCAATGAAATGAAGGAAAATCAGCATAAATTTTAAGTTACAAATAATGTGCTTTTCTTAACTGCAGCCGATTAACTGCACTGATGCAATAGTTAACAGAATAACAGTAATCCACACTGGACAGATGATCATGCTCCTGGTTACTTCCGGAACACATCCAATTCCTAATGAGGAAATAGCCGACAGACAGATGGCTCTCACTGCATTTCACTGACATGTTTCAAAAGAAACACACACAAAAACCCTTGCAAATGAATGTCTTGGCCCAAATCGTCCAGAACATTGGTAAAGCAATATGTGAGAATGAGTACACTGTTGTGCGGAGGCAGTAATAAAATCAACAAATATGGCACACCATTTGACAGGCTTTGAGTCAGAGGACTACTTTCACATAATTTATCTGTATGTTTACAAAAAGGCCAGAAAAAGATAAATTCACTATCAATAAAAACAGAGACGATCAAAGCATATCATAGCTATGCCTACTACTTAGATGAGATTTATAACCTCATTTGGTTGTCCAATTTCACTGAGGTCAATAATAAAATGATTGTGAATTCTGAGTATTTAACTTTCCTTGTGGTTTAAAATGATTTTCCTTATCCCAGTATTTTTTAAAAAATCAAATATGCAATATTCTAACTCCCTCATGCCCTAAAACGAGGGCAATACATCTTTTCCATAATCAAAGGAAAATTCTCTTCATTAATAAAACCTGTTGATCTACTAGTACTGTCCACATTTCTCCTCTTATTAATGATTATGTAATAAAGGCTGAACATTCTTATTTGTACCTACAACACGCACCTCTTTTCGTCTGCTGGCTACCATCTTCTTATCTGATCTCTGGATACTTCCAGTTCCAAAATAATCCAGCGCCGATGTAGGTGTAAGTTTTACTGATGATAAAGGCTTATTCCTGGTCTTAATGTTTTCTTCATTCTTTTTCATGTTTGATGTTCCAAGATAACTACTTGCAATCTCTCGTGATTTAAAGAGTGCCTTCACATACTTAAAGTCGTCTTCTTCATCTTAAAAGAAATGACCCCAAGTTTTAAAAATAAAACAATTTTAATTATATAAAGCAACCACTTGTTTTCTTTATACAACGCCTTTATAAAAAAGTAAACAAAAGCCATGGGATTCTAATGTTTCCTTTCTTCCTATCTCCCAAATCCAACAATCTGCTCCACACTTAACTAGTGCAAGCTATGTGATACAATATCCCCCAGCCCAAATACTATTCAGAACATGAATACATTTATTCACTCATATATTCAAAAAATATTTACTGAGCGCCCATACAATGCCAAGCACTGATTCAAGTAGTAAGAATACAGCAGTGAGTAAAAAAGAAAAGTTTCCTGCCCTCACAGAGAGTGGAGTTTGTAAAACAGATACAGAGAAACACATCTAGTTTTAAATGCTATAAATAAAAAGTAAAACATGGTAAAAGAATTAGAATTGGGAGTCCTCTAACTCGTTCACCATGCTCTACCTGTTATTTACAGCACTTAAAACCTGCTGTGTTTTCATTTGTATCTCTTTTACAGACTCTACTCTCTGAGGGCAGGAATCTTGACTTTTTTACTCATTGCTGCTCTACTGGGAGCCCAGGAGTCCTGGTGTGGCGCTGTGGGTTAATGCACTAGACTGCAAAGTCGGTTTGAACCGGAAGGTTGACAGTTCAAGCTCACCAGTCACTCCTCAGAAACCCTACACAGAGCCATCGCTATGGGTCATTACTGATTCAACAGCACTCAACACCAACAACACTGGGAGTCCTGGTGCGGCACTGTGGGTTAATGTGCTAGACTGCAAAGTCAGTTTGAACCACAAGGTCAATGGTTCAAGTTCACCAGCAGATCCTCAGAAACCCTACACAGGATTGCTATGGGTCAGAACCAACTTGACAGCACTTAACAACAACAACAATTGGGTAGGGTAGGAAATCTATGTAGTCGGCTAAGTGTTGGGCTGTTAACCGCAAGGCCAGCAGTTCAAATCAACCAGATGCTACTCAGGAGAAAGATAAGGCTGTCTGCTCCCACCAAGATTTATAGCCTCTGAAATCCTAGGGAGCAAATCAGAATCGACTCAGGGACAGTGGGTTAGGTTTGGGTTTGATAGATAGGGTGGTCAAGGAAAGCTTGTTTGATGAGCAACATTTAGACAGAGATGTGAAATGAAGATACCTCAAGCAAGAACATGCACTCTTCAAAGCAAGTGCAAAAGTCTTCGTTTGCATGTGCTGGGAGGTCAATGTGATCACAGCACAGGCAGGGAAAGCTGCAAGATTTAGGTCAGAGGGTTAGGGCTTAAATCCTAAAGGCTTTATTTATAGGTCATAGAACCATGTAATAAATTCCATGCAGCAATAAAAACGTATAACGTACATTCATACTTACTGACAGATATTCTTATCTTTATTAAGTGGTGAAAGCAGGTGACATAATATATTTAATGATAATTTGGAGTGTGAATATGAGTACACACACACAGAGAGAGAAAGAACAAGGCCAGGACCCGACTAACAGACCATCGATTGATCCTATGCAAGTTCAAGCTGAAGCTGAAGAAAATTAAAACAAATCCACGACAGTAAAAAAATAACTATGAATATACGCCAACTGAATTTAGAGACCACCTTAAAAACAGATTTGATGTATTGAACACTGATCATAAAGAGACAAGTTGTGGGACGACATAACATCATGCACGAAGAAAGAAAAGAAACAATGGCTAAATGGATGTCAAAATAGACTCTGAAACGTCTTGAAAGTACAATACCTAAAGCAAAAAGAAGAAATGAGGATGTAAAATAGCTGAACAGAAAATGTCAAGGGGTGGTTTGAGAAGACAAAGCATTACTGTAAAATGTGTAAAGAACTAGCAGTGCAAAACCAAAGGGAAGAACATGTCCAGCATTTTATAAGCTGAAAGAAATAAAGAAAAAATTCAAGCCTCAAGCTGCAATGTTGAAGGATTTTAAAGTCTGAAATTTGAAAAGTGCAATTTTTTAAAAAGTATAATGAATGGTACAGCACCTAATTATGCTATAAATATTTGGTAAATAAAAAGTAGTGTTCTCTAGTAAAAACAACACTGAGTTTGAAGTACGGAAAATGATCGTTATAATCTGATTTTTATGTATTTGTTTGTTTTTGAGAAAAGCCAGCATAAAGCACTTTTATTGCAAGAATTCAACTTGAAATTCATGTGTGGTGCAGAAGCTGGGAGGAGGAGTGGGGCAGCAGCAACTTCTCTCAGCTAATCACTACACAGGGCAGCCAGCAGAGGGGGAGGGGGAGAGAGAGGAAAAGCCAGGAACCCTTTGAGATCAGCAAGGGGAGCTCTGGAGCATCAAAAAAACAGGAGATGTTGAAGCTGCAATGACCAGCAGCATTTTCTTAGAGAACACTCTAAAGGATGTGTCATGATGGTTGGGCTTTCCCTGGGGGTAAAATGTCCACAAACAGTACCATCAATTTAAACTTTCAATTAAAGTTCTTAAAATTTAGAAAGTGGTGGTGTTTGGGTAGTTATAAAATTACAAAAGTCCTGAAAATCCATTAGAAAAACCACAGTGTGTGACCAAAAAAAAAAAAAGACAAACCAGGTCACAAAAAAGGCTTCAAAGGTTCCCACGGGCCTGGGAACAGATACCTATAGTGTCCAACACCACAGTATAAACTATGTGCTTTCAAATGGCAGAAAAGGTTTAAGGGGAAGGTGAGTGGGGCCAGTGCAGGCAAAGGTGCTCCATCCACTTCCCCACGTCAGTTTCAGGTAGGGCTCTGAATTCAAGCCAAGGACATCTCTCAACTTGGGAAAAAAATTCAGGCCTCAATGCCTCACATCTGCTATGGCTCTGAAGCACACAGCAGCACAAATGTTTAATATACAATAAAAATGTCATCCAAAAAAAATAAAGTTTCTTATACTCTCCTCCCACCCTCAACACCAATTCCTATTCTGAAGTTCACCCATTGTGCTGTTAATACTGGATCATGTGCTCAACTGGAAACCTAGATCCAAAAGACTGAAACTGACTCTTCACCCCCAAACCAAACCAAAACAATTTGATGTGGATGGCATACAGTTTAAGTCATCATAATACGAGGAGAAAGGGGAAGAGGAAATGGAGGTGTCAGAAGCAAAGCTGAGTGACAGAGCACATTCCATCAGGGTCGATGATTAGAGAAAGTAAAGTGGGATGTCAGGTAAAGCTCCATACAGAATGCGTGTCTGGCAGCACCAGATCCTTCCGGTGGCAGATCCAAGAACAGGGAGCTAGGGGAGGAGGCCAGTCTTGTCATTCCAGTTTTAGAAGCTCCACGTTAGACGAGAGTGGCGTTTGGTGGGATCATGCCTGGGTGCCCAGTAGCACCACAGGCATAGTTTGGGGGAGGTGGTCAGTTTGGCTCTCTACCCCACACTCATCTGGGCAACCTCTTCTTCCCAGCCTCAGATCACCTCCTGTTTGCCTAGCATAAACTTAAAAGGGTTAGTTTCTGTCCTAGGAGGAATCCAATTTCTTTGTCTTCAAGCATCCCTGTGTAGTGTCCCACACAGGTATGATTGCGCTTCGGGAAGGTGTGCTCGTATCTGGAGGAGATGGTCTGCACATGAACTCCCACGGCTGCGATGGTGACGACAGACGCTGGGTGGGTGGCACAAACCAAGAGCAGACCCAGCAGTGATTCCCGCAGCTCTGCCTCTTAGCCTGATTTTGACTTACTATTTTAAATTTACTGATCTAGCCTTCAATGTCCTTATGTAAAATGTTGGAACACAATCTTAAGGTTCCGTCCCTCTAAAATTTTGGAATCTATGTACTGCCATGGAAACTTTAAACTATGATCAATACTGGTGAGAATACAGTGAGCCTGCACTAACACAAATACTAATTAAGAAAGTAAAAAATCAGAATGACTTTTTTGGAAAGTGATTAGCAAAATACATCTAGAACCTTAAAGTATCTTATCTCTTAGTCTTGGGAATTGTTAGAGATTATTAGTTGCTCCTCAGAAACTCTATGGCTGGGCTGCTATGAGTAGGAACCAACTGAACACCACTTAACAGGACCAAAATCAAAATACTGGCAATGATTGTACAGATGGAGCAGAACTGGGCTGACAAGCTCAATCAAATATTCATTATGCAATTATGAATCTGAAAAATGAATGCAACTGAAATATTGTAAACCACCAAAAGGTGGACTTAGACAACCAAAGGGTCAAGCCTATTCAGCATATCTCAAGCTGAAAGAACAGAAGAAAAAACTCAAACCTCAACTTGCAAACCTGAGCTATTCCAAGGGCAAAATATTGAAGGATGCAGAAAATATCAAAAGAAGATGAAGGGAATACACAGAGTCACTGTACCAAAAAGTGGTCAGTCTTCAACCATTTCAAAAGGTAGCATGTGATCAAGAAATGATGGGATTGCCAAATTTCACTGAAGGAAATAGCAAAAAACAAGGCTTCAGGAATTGAGGGAATACAAATTGAAATCTTTCAAAATAAACTGATGCAGCACTGGAGGCACTCGCTCATCTATGCCAAGAAATTTGGAAGGCAGTCACCCAACCAACCGATTATATTTGTGCCTATTCCGAAAGCAGTCACCCAACAAAATGCGGCAATCATCAAACAATATTAGTATCACATATAAGTAAAATTTTGATGAAGATAATTAAAAAGTGGCTGCAACAGCACAACAGTACAGCAACAGAGAACTGCCAGAAATTCAAGCCAGATGCAAAAGAGGACAGGAAACAAGGGGTATTACTGCTGACATCAGATGGATCTTGACTGAAGGCAAAGAATATCAGAAAAATGTTTAGCTATGTTTTATTGACTATGCAAAGACTTTGAACTGTGTGGATCATAACAAGCTATGCATACCATTGTAAAGAATGGGTATTCCCAAACATTTACTTGTGCTCATGAGGAACTGCTTCCTAGACCAAGAAGCAGTCATAAGAACAGAACAAGAGAATACAAAATGATTTACAATCAGAAAAGCA